AGACAACCCCGTAACAATATGCGTTTTGTACTGCTGTTACACAGCACAAAACGCATAAAAATGCAGGAAGTCAGTGTATGGACCATGGTTACCAATGCTTTCGAAAACTAAATGGTGCCCATAAATTTTTGACGCAATTGCATCAAAATCTTTGTAGTTGTTTTTACACGTAGATCATCAACATATCGACACATTCATGGGTCTGTAGCAATTTAATTTATCGTACCGAACTTTCAAAACCAGCTACAAAACAAAGGAACAGTACGTGCAGGACTAGCGTCACCACCCTTTTTGCTACTGCGAGTGGTTGATTTTACCCTATTCTTTACTCCACTTAATCCCACGATCATATCGTTTTCCCTTCTGCTTCTTCCTGTCGTCTTCCTCTTTTCCTTTCCTTTTCCATTAAGCACTGCGGTCGTCATACTGACTAGGTCCTGTCGTGCGGTGTTGAGTTAAAACTTATATGACTTAATGGACCGAAACGTCTTATCTCTCTCTGATCTTTTTCCTCTCATACTGTTCTTTCATGCTGTAATCTATCGCGCCTTCGCCATTTAGGCTTCTCGGGGTCAACCTGGTTGCTACAGTCGGCTTATATAAAGTCAGAATTCCAAGTCCTATCATTCACACAGTAATAGTGAAGCTGTTTTTTAGATGATATGCCTGCCGGACAGACACCGTACACAGTGACATTGTTTGCGCATGGTGATTTAGTGGAACGTGTGCAGCCGGGTGATCGTGTTTCCGTAACCGGCATCTATCGGGCGCTGCCAGCACGGATCAATCCGCGTATCAGAACTGTCAGTTCGGTCTATCGTGCCAGTATCGATGTGCTGCATTTTCGAAAAACGGATCAGAGTCGCCTTCATCAACTGGACGATGGGTAATATTTCATTTTAAGCCATGAGCACAGTTGGGGCTGGAACTCGCTTTCTCTCCCTCTCCTGCTCCTACCCTTTAAGCTTTGCTTTCACTTTATGTCGGAAAATTAGACGATTTTTTGATTTTCGAAAAAAATGGCCATTTTCAGGCTTTATTGCCGTTGGTTACTGTTGGTCACTTTTACAGCTGTACCTTTTTTGAATTATAAACTGTTCAGCTTTCAGTCGTCTTTTTTGTTCCGACTTTTTTTTTGAGAGGCTTTTTTTACAGCACTTATTTGACCGAAGAACGTGTGTCAATGATCATGAATTTAGCAAAACGAGCAGATATTGTCGATCGTTTGGCAAGTGCCGTAGGTGAGAAAAATTTACTATTATTATTTTGACTTTGTCAATTTTGATTTTATTTCTTCCAAATTTTGTATTCCTCGAAATTCTGTTCCAGTTTCCTTCTCGTAGAATTCCTGTCTGGTCTCTTGTTATAGCGTGGGAATGCTAACGATGAGTTACTTTTGAAGCATGGTGAGCTGTAATAGAAAGTTATAACAGGAAAGAATGGAAATAAGAAAAAAAGGGAAAGGGAGGCAAGAAATGGAAATAAGAAAATTTTGTGAGAAAATTTGAAATCCATCAGCTCCAAACATGTCAAGAAGTCGCTGTGCTGCGTTTTGTTTGACTAAATTTAATTGGTGTTGACCAGCTGATCAGCTTGTTTAACGGCTGCGAATGCAGTAAAAGTTAACGTATCGCTATGAAAGACTCATTTCACATTATCTGAATTTAATAAAAAGCTGTAGTAGTAATGAATGGAAAAGAGAAAAAGAAGAAAATGAAGGTGAGGAATGAAAATTGGAAAATTTATGGGATTATTGTAATGGTAAGAAGTATTTCGATCCATTAAGTCGTATACATTTCTTCCTATTACCACAATTGGACCTCGTCACTATGTTGACTGTGGTAATTGAGATTAGAATCCAAATCTTTTCATTTGTATGGCTGCTTCAGCTCCTTCGATCTACGGGCATGACGATATCAAACGTGGCATTCTATGTCTTCTGTTCGGTGGCACACGTAAAGAAGACAAGACGGGACATAAAAACAATTTACGAAGCGAAATCAACATTTTGCTCTGTGGTGATCCGGGGACGAGTAAAAGT